TTACCAAACACGGAACACACAAAGGAACGTTGACTCCAGCGACTGGGGCGTGGCAGCATATCTCCTTTTATCTCCAAACCTTCTAACCACTCCCAGCTGCCAAATATACTTGATCCCAAAAAGACTCTCAGCAGAACTGCTGAGTCACAACATATATATATATATAAAACCAAACATAAACAAACAAAACATGTAACATAAAAACATCTTCCATTCCGTATAGTGTGTCGATTGATTACAAGGTTTTTATGCATCCTTTCTGTAGTCATCCCTTAAATTTTATATAAAGTCACATATTGTCAATCAAGTATATTTGTATACATTATTATTATTATAGTACTTCATTTGTTTGACTGTCGCTATTATTTCTTCATTTTAAACAAGGTATTCTAAATATGGCTTCATTTATATTATAATTCATTATGACTTTTTGAATTTCTAGCATAATTTTTTGCAGTTATTTCCTTTTCTTCTTCATATTGCGCCATTTTTCCAGGTTGTAAACACTGCCATTAGGACATCCAAGGCCTTTTACTAGGTTTCAAAGAAATTCACTATAATCTTTCAAGCCAAGGCTTTTTCTTTACTGCAGTCCAGCTACTGATAATATTCCAGAAGAGCACCTGTGTAAACAAACTGTACTCTTCCCACTATTCTTTCAATAAACAAGTTCTGAAGCCTTGAAGCATGAGATATACATCAAATATAAACCCAGGATACAAATAAATCTTTAGAGACCAACAAGACATCTTCAAAATAAACCTTTAAAAAGTTTATTTTTTAATCTTTATCTCACAGTTCTTTCATCTTGCTTAAACATTTATTCAATATTTCAAGAACCCCACTCCCCCCCAAGAAAGCACGAGAGAGAAAACAGTGGGCATTCTTTTTATTATCTTACAAAGCAAGATCCCCCATTAGATCCCCATTAACAGTTATTTGTGCTTTCTATGAAGTATAGTCTAGGTCATAGATGAATCTTTTCGGCAGCGAGTGCCGACAAGGAAGTGTGTGCATGCTCTTGGGCCCGCAACCCGGGAAAGGAGCTGCCCAGGGGGCATGCGTGCACTGGAAAATGAATTCTAGTTTCTGGCATGCGCCTGTGCATCTGCCAGCTATTCTTCCAGTTACTGGCATGCATATGTGCGTGATGATCATCTGGCTGGCACACATGCACACACCGGAAAATGGAAGGACACTTCCTGTTTTCAGCACTTGCAGATGCGCAGGTGCATGCCAGAAACTAGAATTCAATTTCCAGTGCACACATGCCCCTTGGGCAGCTCCTTTCCCGGGCTAGCTGATTGTTGTGTGTGCATGCACGCCAGAAACCCAGAGGAGGAACAAGCGATGCCGCACGTGCCAGGCAACATGGCTCCCGAGTGCCCTAGGTTCACCATCACAGGCCTAGGTTATCTATTTAATAAATTTCTCTCCAAACTTGGTATAATCCTAAACCTTGAGCAAGATACCCAGGTTCTATTTACCTTCTCTGCAGCTCAGAAAATCACTTTGGCTTGTTTTTCATTATTTGCTTCAAATATTCCAATATAGCCAACACTTTTCTAACATTGTTATTTTGGGTAAAAACGCACATTGATCTGAATGAATAAATTCTTGCAAAATTATTTTTAGTCTATTAGTTAGAAATTGCTTATAATAATTATTCAGTAGTGGTATAAAACCTGTGGTTTCTTATTAAAGTCAGATCTTGCCCCTCTTTAAATATTAGTGCCATATTGGCCTCTTTCCAGCTGTCCGGCACTTTTCCCCTTGATAAAATTCCTTGCATTTTGTAAA